TAACCTCAAAGTGGTATTCTAAGATAAGTGTTTATTGACAGGAACAACAAGCAATCCACATTTTTCAATTTAACTTATTAAAAAAGAAATTATCGAGAAACATGAGGCAAAAATATGTTTGCCTTTTTGTCTCTTTTCTAGTTGAGTGGGAAAAAATCACGTTGATAGGGGGAGCTGAAAGTTGGCATTATCAGGGTTGTTCATTTGTTAGTCTGGTAGACACTGCTTTTCATGAAAGCAGTAGTTAAATGCATGTCGCCATCTTTGCCATTTTTGGAACATACCATTTATATTCTTGTTGCAGAAGTTTTGTTAGCTTTATGGTCAGCTAGCATTGTCCATGTGTGTTGCTGTGCATACACACTCACTTTTGGGATTTGCATTTACACGTTAGGAATGCCTGTTGCTAACAGTGGAGGCAAGACAGTAGCGCTGCTCTCTCTCAATGCGAACAGACAGAATTTCTGACACTTGTGTATATATGGGATCAAAACTCAATGTAACATAGAACTGCCAGGGCTTCTTATTTTAACAAGCTATTACTTTTTTGTATTATTTTGGTGGTGGGGAAGGAGAGGGGGAACAGAAAGGCAATGGCGTTGTTCGAGTTGCTTCCGCGAAGGACAGACGTTTTGAAAAGTGTGTATGCTGTGCCTCCACTGGCATGGGGAACAGGAGGCTGGGACACTGCTGGTGAGCTTCGCTCTTCCTGCCACAGTCATGACATTCTGCACTAGCATCTGTGTTGCTGTGGATGATATTTCCTGTTAAACTGTTCATTAGCTGCTCAGAATATCAGTCAGAGCAGAGCAGGGTTTCTTCAGTATGCAGGTTATGCAATAGTTCATGAAATCTTTTCTTAGTATGTGCTGTCCTTAGAGAGTTACTTAGTTGCTTCTGTGATAAAAAATAAAAAATTTATTTTAAAATTGCATCTGTCTGCAGATGCAATTTTAAAATCTGCTCTTTTCAGGAAGAAATTGTGGTCTTCTTGTACAGACCTGGACATAAAACTGAGACATAGATATCTCTGATACATATCAAGTTAAGGATCACAGTATGTGCTTCATGATTCCACTTTTTCAAGTGAACAGATAACTTTTTATTTAAGCATGTTTGTGTACCTAAAAGGTATTTTTGCATTTCTGTAATTTCCATCATTTTCCAGATGATATGCTCCAAAATAAATTCAGAAAAGAAATATTGTTAGAAGGATGATTTATTTCCATTGCCATATACAAAATGAAGATAGTATGAGTCAAATTCTAGATGGACAAATGTTTTATCCGCATCTTGTTCATACTTCTTATTAAAGGTAAACTATAAATAGTTCAAAAATGGGTAGTTAATACTTTGCAGGTTTTATAAATTTGTTATGGATTACAGCAGTGTGTTCCAGGCAGTTAGGTCAAATATATTAATAAATGGCTAGTTAATTGTTACTGATTATTATTAAATTATTATTGTTTATTTTAAATAAAATTTGAAATAAATTATTAAGCCTTTTCACTGTGAACATAATATAGGGGGAAACAAGAAGCGCTGAATGACTAACTTAGAATATAAAAAAGATCTCAGTTCTGGAACAACACTATGTTTGTTTAATTTCTACATGAGTTTAAAAGCAAAGGCAATTAAGATGTAAAGAAAGAAGAGAATGAATCTACACAGGATAAATCTCAGGTATACAAAAGTGGATATATTGATGCTCTCTCTCTCCAAGGAAAAGAGAGCCTGGCTTCTTTATCCTCAGTGTGGCTGCAAGGAAAAAGGACACAGTTTTGCCTTTTGAAGTACAAAACATTTCTGAAAAATGCTGAAATCACAGGGGTATGTGTGAGAGTTAACACCTAACCCCCTGAGATGAGGCTAATGGTTCATAATCCTACCAGTAGGACTGACACCTAAGCCTGCTCAGAAAATGCTCTCCAAAAATCCTGCCCTGCTTCTGCATTTAGTCATCCTGAAACACTGAGCTGAGCACTTCGACGAGGCCCAGATTTCAGCTCTGAAATGTATGGCAACTTATTCATCATTTAGGTACAGGTGATTGATCTGCTCTTTAAAAATATATGTAGTATTTAGAGGAAGCCACCTTTTGTATAGTAGCCAAGAGATTAGAGCTCCTCCACAGAACCAGAAGTCCTGGGCTCAGCATCGTCCTCAACCCCTTTCACCCACCGAAGGAGTGGTGCCGGGACACTTGGGCTCCACCCCAAAACCCAGCCCATGGCATGCCATGGTGTTGCACGGGGCTGTGATTATTTTGATACAAAGATCCTGTTTAGACAGCACAGCCCCGGCCTTGGATTCCCAACCTCAGAGCAGCTTCTGAATTTTGTTTTAGGGAGCAGCTGGAAAGGAGCAGGGCTGGAAGCCTCCCAGGGTAGCACTTCTCTGAAAGGGAACTGAGTCATGCTCCTTTTCTGTTTGCTATCTCTGTAGCCCTATGAATTGTGCATTTCTTTCCACGCAGTGGCACAGCTTCAGCTATGACTCCTACTGCAGTTTTGCTTTGAGCCTAGTTGCTAGGAGATGGCAGCTCTGAGTTCAGGTCCCTTCCTTACCACAGCTGGCAAAGACGTTGCATCCCAAATTTTCCACCTCTTTGCTGTGTATTGCAACAAGAAGCCAGAACTCGGTCTCCCACTTCTTGGCCACATGCTCTAACACGTGGGATGGTATGCACCAAGGTGCACCAAGCGCCCTTGCTGTGCCCTCTGGCTAGGCTCTCCTTGCTGTGCTCTGCTAGAAGCTCAGTGCACCAGCTCTGCAAGAAACTCACTGCTAAGTTTTCAGTGCACTGACTAGAGGGGCTCTGGAGGACGTGTAAATTCAGGCACAGAAAACTTGTGGGTTCCAGACAGTCAGGAAAAGGAGACAATCCCTGAGATACTCTGCTGGTCTATAGAAGTTAGACCCCTTTGCACTGCACCTCTTGAACACAGTCCAGTCCTTGATAAATTTGCAGAAGATCCCTTACTGGTGTTTGAGAGAATAAAATGAGGCTCTAAGTGAGCCTATGGCAGGAAGTATCATCTAATTTTAAACATAAGGATCCAGAACATCTCAGCCATGAGAGTGTTAAAGATTTGGATGATGATTTAAGCTTTGTTGCCAAGATAGAACTTTATTGTATAGCTCATGAATATTTTCTCATAGAAAATAATACATTTTCTTTTGTAAGAGACAGCAATGACCTTTGGAGATAAAAGGTAAATGATATTAAAGTTGAATTCCTGGCAAAAATAAATTGCTATTTTGGCCCTTTGTTTAAGTCTATTATTACTTAAGAAAATGCATAGGAGTCTACTTTGGCCAACTCTCTTAAAAATGCAAAGCTTTGCCTCAGCTCATATTAGTGCCCAAGAGGCCTCATTCTGATTGTTTATGGCATTAATTATCTGATGGTTCAGTGTTCTGTATTAAATATTAAAATTTCTGTTAATAATATATATTCCTTCTCCTGAGTCATCTCAGTTGTGCCCAAGTCTCTTTCACCAATAAATATCTATGAGACAGGAATATCTTCATCTCAGAAAAGTTGGTAGTGTCTTATTTGAAGGTAGGAACCGACAACTGCTTCTAATGCAGACAGGAAAGCCTCTTCAGAACCCCTTTTGCTTCGACACAGACTGGATACTGAACTATTTGACCCCTCTGTGCTGGTATATACATTCTATTTTTAAGTAAACATTGTAGAAAAGGTTTGAGATATTTTATTGCATTCTTAATAAGGTTAGTATATTTACCAACCACGAAAGGGTTGTGCAGAAGAGAGAGGCATAAAATGGACAAAATCTTACACAAAGGGGAGATAACTCTAACAGATCATTTTTCAGTTAACTACACTGGAAAGGTCTGCAAACATTCTCACTGCTATTTTTTTAGATACTGATCTTCCATAGATCCATTTTATTTGAAATCACTGAAATATATTTTCATTAGAGAAGAGTGTAAAATCAGGCCCATAAAAAAAAGTCTACAATTCAAAAGAAACAAAGAATTTCAAATACATTTGCAGACTAAATCAGAAATTCTAGTGCTCAGGTCCCTGTGGTGGGCTGAGCAGTCAACACACTGTTAATTTTCCTTGTTTCCAACTACTAAAATGTATGAAATATTCTCTTAATGCTTTTCTTTTTTTCACTTGTGTCATTACTAAAGTTGCCACAGGGGCATTCTGTGATCACGAGTGGAGGTGAGGTGCTCTAAGCAGTAGCTATGGTAAGTGCAGCTGGGGAAAAATACACTTTCACCTGAAACATGATCTCCTTTAGGGGAAAATTGGAGGGCTGTTGTGCCAAATCCTGTTAAATATTATGCAAGTATCTAAGAGGCAAAGAGGGAGCATTGAGGGGGACTCATGATGTACAGTCACTGCTCATACACAGATAACAAATGCTTTCAAGTCACGTTTGTAGAGACATCCTTACTGCTTGGCCTTTGTGTGGATGGACACTCACTCAGCCCTCTGCAAACACAGGAAACGCTTTATTCCATTCCTCTATTCCTTCTGTCATTTCTGAGGCAGATACATCAAAAGAAGTAGTCGGTGCATTCTGTATTGGTTTGTCTTATCGAGAAAGATATGATTCTCTGGCTCAGAAGAGTCATTCCTGTACTCAGAAAGTAATGGCTTTTTTCTATCCTTTCCCACGCTATTTCTGGACAGAGTTGGGTTTTGCAGGAGACTGAGCTCTTCGGGGTGAGAGGATGCTTCTTCTCCTTTGAGAACCAGTATGGTTGGCTTGTGGAGCACAAAAAAAATGAATATTCTCAGACTTATAGGAATATAGACATATAGGAAACCTGTATGTTTGCTTATTTCCATTGTTTCTTTTCAGCTGATATTTTGTCAATCAGAAACACATCTGTGCTTGTTTAACATGTATTATACCTTTCTGAAAGCAATAGATGTGGAGTTGTAACAATGGAAAAGACCCTCTTGTGCAAGGTAAAATGTAACAATAATTCAAACCCTTTTCTTGTTTTCGCAGGACGAGGCTGCTCCAGCTGACAAGCAGTACAAACAGGAGCCAGCCCAGGTCACTTACTCAACATCAGCTGTTTCCAGCACACAGGAGGTGTTGTACATCAATGGCAATGGGACCTACAGTTACCATAGTTACAGAGGGCTTGGAGGTGGGCTGCTAAATCTCAACGATGCTTCTAGCAGTGGTGAGTTTCCTTACAAAATGTGCCTCTGTGTGTATGTGCTCATGTGTACGTTTCCCCCTGCTGTACAAAAAGCTACTCCAAGGGGTACAATATCCATAGGCTATTATCAGATAATGAACAGGAACACAATCCTGCAAACAGCTACTGCTGAGCAAAATACTTGCTCACTGTATGCTAGTCTCAATTCTTTCAGTTTCAAGGGACTAATTCACAATAGGGCGAGACTGAACCTGAAGTCTCTAACAAAGCTGAGTAAAAAATGCCAGGTTAGATCTTCAGTCGATTTGCATGACTTTATGAGGACCTACCCTGTCATTATTGTCCTCTCATACACTGATCACAAAATGAGGCCATTAGTATCTTTGTGGCTGGAGTTTGAAAACACCGAACTCCATATTTTGTAACACAAATAAATTGACCTAGATTTCTCACATGTTCTCTCTAGCTACTTCAATTTATTGCATATAAGGATCTGGCATACCGAGTGTTAAATGAGAAATCAGCATATCTGTAGAATCGTAGAATCGTAGAATGGTTAGGGTTGGAAGGGACCTTAAAAATCACCTCGTTCCAACCCCACTGCGGTGGTTAGGGATGCCTTCCACTTGATCAGGTTACTCAAATCCCATCCAACCAGGCCTTGAACATCCCCAGGGGTAGAGAAAGTACAACTTCTCTGGGCAACTTGTTCCAGTGTCTTACCACCCTCTAGGTGGTAAGGATTTCTTCCCAATGTCTGATCTAAATCTACCCTCTTTCAGTTTAAAACCTTTACCCCTTGTCCTATCACTACACTCCCTGACAAGTAGTCCCTCCCCATCTTTATATATCCATCTATACTAAAAATGATGCAGGCAATTATGTGTCACCATGAGGTTGTATGCCCCTCTGAAAAAAACAGTGGTGTCATTTATTTAGGCAACATTCCTTTCTTCTTACATTAGCAAGCTTTTGTTACAAACAAACGTAAGCAAATTCTATTATTCATTTGAAATAGTCCCCCGTATTAATTTCATACAAATTCAGACCAAAGGAAAAGGTTTGGCCTTTCTGATAACAAGGGTATTGTCTGTCTGTCAGAGAAAAGTGATTACTCTGGAAGCCTGAGGGTCTCTTGCCTCCAAGAATGGTATGTAAAAAATGTCTCAGAGGACTGAGAAATACCTGGGTTTTTGTCCTGGCTGATCCCCCTCTGGCTGAGGAGAGTGCTGCTTCAGGTACATGGGCTGACTTAGGTGAGATGGTAATTGTTCAGCTACAGCCTCTGTATTCAACACGCTAAGCAATTTTCAAAACACTATTAGGGCTGCAGCCCACAAGGAGTTATTGGTATGCGGTGTCCTGGTGACCTTCAGTCATGTCTGCTTCCTCACCCCCTCCCCGACAAAAAAATCCTCAAATGTCTTGCATTAAAAATCCTCAAATGATTTGCATTAAGTTTTCAAAAGGCTTTAAAAAGATAATATTTTAGTTGTCAAAAGTCTTTGACTTAAAGAGAGTGAATGATGATTGCAATTGTTTCCATATGCATGAAAAACACATCTGAGGTACTGAATATGATCTCTGATCAAATATTTTCATAAGAGTAAGACAGGCTGTGGAAATTTGTTTGCTGGGAAAATCAACAAGAGCATTTCACATTGGAGCCAGAAGATCTGACCAAGTTCCCTCTGAAAACAGTTAGCATTTGCACTTTCACCCAACTAAGAGTAGGATTAAACTCCCCATGTGTTATTTGTCAGCAGAAGCCATCAGAATTGTTCTGGTTTACATAATCTTAAACTGTGAGGAATCACAACTGTTTTGTGTGCTTGTTCTTCTCTTCAAACCTCTTGTAATAGGATACATTTTCATAGCCCACATTTTTCAGTGAATTATGGGATTTAGGCAAAAGTATTCTATGTCACTTCAGCATGCAATTTTAAAAAATGAGATACAAATTCAACATCATAAATTAGTATTACTTTCTGATTAGAAGCAACATTTTCCTTGTACCTTTAACGTAGAGGACTGAAGTGTTTTTTCACAATTAAAGCTCAAGATGGGTTTTGCAGGACAAAAAGTGGTTATTCAGGAACTACCAGATGCTGCACAGCTAACATAGCCAGGGAAATGTGCAGTGTACTGCATTTCTTTGTGTAGCATCACTGGGGTGAAGGGACCAGTGGATGCTTACGATTTGCATACTAACATATGTTCAAACGTTTCTTCTTCCTTGCATTTCCCTACTTACACTGGAAAATTCTGTCTGTATGTCCTCTTACTTTGGATGACTAGTAAACCATTACACCTCTCCCAGATGGTTGTGCATAGTTGGAGCATTGTGCAAAGGTGTCCATCTTTTCCACAGGGATCCTACAGGGTCCAAAGCACATAAGCTCCACAAACCAAAAGTCTGCATGCCAGCACTTGGAAACCAGTTGTTGATGCTAACAATCTAGCTGGCTGCTGATTTGTGACCCACCTGCCATTTCAGGAAGATCATTAGGAAAGTTGTGGAAAGGCAACTCCATCAGTTTCTTAGTTTCAATGACACAAAAGCAATCAGTAGCCAACCTAATTATCTCTTGGCTATTGAGGGTAAAGTGCTCTTGCTCCATCAGCTGGTTTCCCTGTTGGAGAAATGGGAGGGCTTGGAGGCCAGTTCTTTGGCATCTGTCAGTCCTCTCTGATACGTCCATGGATATTTGCTTTTTCATTTGTAGACTGAAAAGAGTGGGTGGGCTTGCAGTTCAGAGGGGTAACCATTGCCCTCCTGACAGACCTCACAGGACAGTTGTTTGCAATCATTACTCTGTTTCAAGGACTCCCCTTCCAAACATATGCAAGGCTGTTAGGATGGTTAATGAGTTCCCTCTCTGGAGAACAGGATATTTGCTTGCAAATTGTTTTCAGGACCTAAGAAGTAATTTAAGAATGCATTTCCTTTTCAGTTTAGTAACCCATCAAATGTTCTTGTCACGTTTACAAATGTTCTAGTGTAAAAATAAATATACACCTCAGTCAAGATGTGTGTATAAACAAATACCGTCTGGTTTTGTGTATCTGTTAAAACAGAAAAAAAGGAGAAGTTGCAAAAGCTAGCTAAAACTCACTGCTTAAATACTTATTTCTGGACCTTTCCCCACAGTAGTATAATGACTATGTCCAATTAGCTTCTATCTAGCAGTCCAACAGATGCATGTATTTTGTATGCTGTGACTCATTTAATTTGGTTATTTCCTCCCCTATAAAGTTCATCCCCACTTTGAACCCATCTTACAGACTTCGCTATCTGCTCGCCCAACTGTTTGGTGGCTCTGGCTCAGGGACCTCTCTGTGCCTGCTGTTGCAGTGCTTCCCTTCTCAGCCTGTCCTTCCACATGGCTAATTACAGAACCATAATTAGCTCCTTACACAACTGTGTGGGGCAAGCCTTCGTGCAACTGCTCAATATGAGCAAGCAGAATGCAACAGCTTGTATAGTGACCCCTCCTTTATTGTGGGCAGGAAAAAAGCACAGCAGGAAAAGCCTAGGGCTTACAGCACTTTTCCCCTGCTTTTAAACCCTTTAGGCCAAGCCAGCTCATCTGGAAAGCTTCACACCATCACCAAGCAATCTGTGGGTTGACAGAGCCTCTGTCAGCCTGTACATGGGCTGGGGAGAAGCTTTTGGACATGTTGTCTTTGATTCTTGCAGATGTTAAAGGAGAGCTGCTCTTTGAGATGGGTGGATTTCCACAGCTGTCTTTTTTAAGGCTAATGCAGTTCATGCTACAGAACTGAACAGGGAACCTACAAAGTGGGGTAGCCCAGTAGGTGTAAACAAAATTTGCTTGCCAGCTCCTAGCCAGCTACAAAGGCTTCAGCTGGCCCCGCTCCATCACACCTGGACCGAACTTGGAGGGACGCCCAGCTTGATGGCAGGAGGGTGAGGACAGGAGACAGGCTGCTCTGTTGAGAGCAAAATCTGTTGCTGCCACCAGAAGATGTAGAAGTCCCTGCATGCTGCCTGAGCCTCTCCTGAGAGAGTGGGATCACCCTGCCTCCCCACGTTTCTGTCCAGTGGGTTTCTGTCTGCCCTCTCCCCATGACCGTCAACTGTCAGCACTCTCTGAAGCCAGGGTGGGTTTGTCAGAATCTTGCTCTCAACAGCCACTTTGTTTCCTGATGTCCATTTTGCTTGAAAAGTGTGGAGAGTGTTTCTGCGGCCATTGCTGGGTTTCCTGGAGATGATTTGGGGCTGTTTCTTCTGCATCGTTGTCTGGTTTTCTGGGCAGAAATGACAGTCATTTCCCTTTGTGTGTGTAAAAAGAGAGGGTGTTTCAGACTCAGTGGCAGACTGGCCACACAGGACATGCCCTCATGTCATGGTAAAACAAAGCAGCTGTTGTGTCTCTGTTTCTCTACACAGATCTGCAGCCTACCTCCACCACAGCCACAACTCAGCACTGCATCCCAGGCACCACAAACGTCCAGTCCCCTTCCAGCTCAGGTGAGTCCTCCCGCTGAATCCAAATGCATTCACACCACAAGCAAATCCTGAGCCCTGGCAGGCTTCGCCTTCAGCCTCCTCTGGCCCACAGGGTGGGCCCACAGACCATGACCAATGGTCCCATGGTCCAGCTGGTAGCTGCTGGACTCCCACAACACCTGTCACCTCTCCCTGCTGCTCCCTTCCAGATGCCCAGAAGGGCTGTGCTGTCGTGGTCATTCCCTGCTTTAGCCAGGCCTCTTACCCATGTGCAGGTCAGCCTTCCTGGTCCTTCTGCCTCCCAATCCTTCAGGCGGTGCAGCCCTGCTGAAGACAACAGGGTAGTTGGGAGAAGCACCTGGAGCTGATGCTGAGAATATCCAGTTTGAAAGTGCTGACTGGGTTACCCACAGCACAGCTGGCCATGATGTAGGCATTGAATGGGGTTTTTGCTGTGGTTGCTGTCTCCAGCTCTTCTTTATACCTCTACTCTTGCACAGTCTCCTGTGTTCTTGGTGCTACCCTGATGGCATCAAAGTGGAGACAG